CGGAGATTTTAAAAGTTCCATTTACTGATTTTTACCAATTATTGAAAAGAAACACACGAAGAATGTGGCTGCAATATTGGGATAAAACTAAGGAAAGTAAAGGAAAGTGGTATGCAGAAATACAAAAAGACATACCAATAGAGCCCTGGTATTACAGATTCAAGTAACGTGGCAGAAAGTTCATAGCTGTAATTAATCGCCTGCGATTCGGTCATTGCTTGGTTCGAGCCCATCTTAATAGACTAGAGATTGTAACTAGCTCGAAATGTAATTATTGTTCCAATGCCAATGCTGATATTGCTCATATAATTTTTAACTGTGAAGCTTTTGGAGTGCAGCGGTTGATAATTGTCAGTGAATTAAGTGACATATCGGATGAAAATATAGCTGGATTACCACTGTCTGACTGACTGACTGAACCAGTGATTTAGATAATTGATCTCCCAGAAGGAGTCGCTGTGGGTCAAAATGATGTACGGGAGTCGTGATCGGATGGCTCCGGTGAGTACCAGAAAAATCCGAAATCTTCGAAAAGTGTACTGCATCAAGTGGGACCCCGGCAGCGCGGCCAAAGTATAACACCTACCGGCAGGATCGTCCAACTAAAAATGGCCGCTACCCCGGGCACTTTCTACCGGAAGTGAAAAAAATTCAAAATTCGAATAAACAAGATGGCCGCCATACAAATTTCAGAGCCCCGTAGCTCGGCAAGTACTGGAGATGGGCGGGGGGTCCTCGACCAAATGTCATAGAGGGCGGTGGGGGTCAAAAAATTTTTTCAAGATGGCCGACTCAAAGTGGGGTCTTAAAATAAAAGTGCTCGGATCCGACTGAAATTTGGCATGCGGCCGTATATGGGAGTCCACAATAGGAAACTGGGGTCAAAATTTCGATTCCGCCATTTTCCAAGATGGCCGCCAAACATGTGAATTTTCTGCCCTTTGGAGTCATTTTTCTCCCAGAAGAAGTGCGGGTTGGTAAAAATGATGTAGGGGAATTATGGTCGGACAGGTTTGATGAGTATCAGAAGGTAAAGTAATCTTCGAAACGTGCTCTGCATCAGGTAGGACCCCAGCTGCCCGGCCAAAGTACGCGTCTTGGCTCAAAGTGTCCAAACAAATGTTTATCCACACTCTGGGCAGTTTCTACCGGGAGTGAAAAAAATTAAAAATTCGAAAAACAAAATGGTCGCCATACACATTTCGGGGACCTGTGCCTCGGTAACTATTGGAGATAGGCAGATCGTGCTCAAACTAATATCGTAGAGGGCGACAGGATCTAACTGGCTGTCGAAATTATTTTTTCAAAATGGCCGATTCAAGATGGCGGCCCGACAAAAAGATACTCCGATCCGGCTGAAATTTTATACGTTTTCATGTTTGGGTGCTCGTAATAAGAATATGCGATCAAATTTTTGATTCCGCCATTTTCTAACAAGGTAACAATAATATGCTTTAAGGCCCACATCTTGGCGAGTGTTGGAGAGGCGCTCAAACAAATGTCGTACAGAATAGTACGAGCCAACTGCAGGTAAAAGAAAATTTCATGATGGCGTACTCAAAATGGCGTCCCGAAATAAAAGTGCTTTGATTCGAGTGAAATTTGAAAACCGCTCGTGTATGGAGGTTCATAGTATGTATCTGCGAGCGAAATTTGGATCCCGCCATTTTCCAAGATGGCCACCATACCAGTGAATTTTCGGTTTTTTTACCAGCATTTTTCTCCCAGAAGAAGAGCGGGTATATAAGAGTAATGTATGCGAATAATGGTTGGGTTGATTTGGTGAGTATCAGAAAGTACCAAAACCTTCGAAAAGTGCTCCGCATCAGGTAGGACCCCAGCTGCACGGGCGAAATATACGTTTTAGCCCTATCCAAACAAATGTTGCTCTACACCTTGGGCAGTTTCTACCGGGAGTAAAAAAAAAACAAAATTCGCAAAACAATGGCAGCGATTCCCACTCAAAGTCAAACAAAAAGAATTCTCTACTGAAGTATGAAGTTCAACTCCCAATTTGTCACCAGATACAAAGAAAGCCCTCGCGGGCCGCTTTAGCGGCCCGGCGCATCGCGCGGCATCTAGTATATATATATATATAAATATCTTTCTCACCTAATGGCTAAATTTAACTTTTTTTTAAATATTTTGTTTTGATTTTAACGAATTGGTGCATTATATTTACTTATTTACGTATTTTTTTGTATATGATATTTTTTCACACTGTTAAGTGCATGTCCATAATTTGCAAGCAAATATTTAGCTCGTACTTTAGTAGGCGAAAGTTACTTTTTACTCCTAAATTTCTTATTTATCTTTTATTTAAAACAAATAAAGTGTCAGGATCAAGATAAGTACCATTTAAATAACTACATCAAATTTGGTAGTAAGCAAGTTTGGTTTGCCTGAGAAAAATATGTCAAAAAATAACCACCAGTCTCACTGTAATCCAGTTTTTGTATTACCTATGACAATAAGCAATATTCTAGGAATTTCAAGCTACACTTCAAGATACGTGTTACAGAATATACTATTATCAAAGTTCCACGTGCTATGTTATCGCCTAAAAAACTTTCACAAAAACACCATATTTAAGCGACTTTGGGCACCTCATCGCCTTAACTAGTAACATTAATTGCTTTACGGATGACAGTACTAGTGATGCCTATTATACAGGTCACACAAATATATACCAGCAAGTGGAACAAAATAGATTGCAACTTGTGTCCAAAATCGAGACTTCTTTGGCAGCAGATCTCAGAATGGTGCCGACAGAATCTTGTCAAATTTAACCCCGCAAAGTGACGCGTTCACCGTTAAAAATACCCATTTGTAATAGCGCCTAAGTTATAGAACACCTTTACCCTTTTCTCCTTACTATCTCTAAGAGTATTGGGGTACATGGACTAGACATCACGAACGAAGTCCAGTTCCGGGGTCATTTGGAGAGCAAAGCCAAACTGACTTCCAAAAAGCTCGGAGTGCTCAATAGAGCGAAGCAGTATTTCTAACCAGGTCACCGACTTTTGTTGTATAAAACACAAGTACGGCCCCATATGGAGTATTGCTCGCATCTCTTGGCAGGAGCTCCCAAATACTAGATTGACCCACTTGACTCCATCCAACGTACGGCTGTTCGTATTGTCGATGGTCACAAACTCGCAGACGGTATGGAGCCCCTTAGCCTATCAGCCTTTCAGATTGAAATAAACCAATTAAGCTTCAGTTTTCGCAATAAATATCTAGAAAGGTGCGCCATTAGCCAAATTCTTATTTTAACAGTAAAAGGATTATTCTCATCGCCCAATCCTCAGTTTCAGAATCTATATAATATTCCGGTCTGTCCATATCATCTACAAAATTTAAAGTATTTACAATTTTCAAACAAGTTGTATGTGTTAAGCGTACTTTAACTAAATCGTTTCAAACCACGTTGAAAGACATGTGTTGTAAATTGCATTTAGGGTTTAACCATATATAACACATTTTTGCGAAATTCGCCTATGAAATGAACCAGATTTTGTGAAAACTATTTTTTCATTTAACAATAACTACGATTTTTTAAAATATATTACTGAAAAGAATATTAAACTTTATATCACAAGGTATTAGATTGCATTCATAATTCATTTTACGATTTTCTGTGGGTTAACACATTTATGCAGAACACGACCCATTTGAGGTTGTTTGTTGTTGACATTGACAATTTCTAACTTATTGCTATCCGAATAATTGAAAATTTATGAAATTCTTGGTTTCTTGGTAATTTATAATAACCTCGAAAGTAATTTTGAGAGGAACTGGAAGAGGATTGAGGTCTGGCGATTGAGCAGGCCACGGCAGAACGTTGATACGAGCTTCGGCAAGAATGCGTGTTACGACTCTAGCCGTGTGTGGACGTGCGTTGTCATGCATTAGTTGAAATGAATCACCCAACTGGCCTCGCAAAGGGATGATAACATCTGAAACAATCCTCTCTGCGTAAACTTGAGCATTGAGGTTACCCCTGATCCAAATGAGATCGGTTCTTCCGCCGATCCAAATACCGGCCCATATCATTATTGTTCCCCCACCATATGGATGAACTTCCTGACAATATCTCAAACGTTCATGACGTCCAGATGTTCTCCAAATTCGAGTACGTCTTGTATCCGGTCTCATATCGAAGCGGGATTCATCCGAAAAGCACACATAGCGCCAGTCTTCTTCCTCCCAGTTTCTGTGTTCGCGAGCCCATCGTAAACGGGTCATGCGATTGCAGGGTGCAATAGGTGGAACTCTGATCGGCCTTCGGGATCGCAGACCCACTTCACGTAAACGATTTCGGATTGTTTGATCGCTTATTAGCAAGCCTGAGGAGCTGTGGAGCCTCGTAACCAACATCATGGCGGTCATGGTACGATTCCGTCGAGCAGTATTTTGGATATACCGGTCCTGTCTGCGAGTCGTGATGCGAGATCGTCCTCCATGTCGCTCGGCCACGCTGCCCGTCATGCGATAGCGCGTCCAGAGGCGACTTATGACGCTCTGTGTAGTGTTAAGAGTGAAAGCCACAGCACGTTGCCTGGAACCAGCTTCCAACATTCCAACATCACTTCTCGGGTTAAATGATGTCGTCTCTCCATAATAATGTAAATTGTTTCGGTTCCGATGCAGATATTGTAATGATTTTGTCAAAACGCTATAACTAATTTTTATACAAAACCACATTGACAATCGATTTTCTTCTTATTATCGAATTTTAAACAATATTCCTTATTTAAATGTTAAAACTCACTAAAAAGTATCAATAGCGATACAAAAAAGTTAATATAATTAACCCTAATTGCAGCAATACTCTTAAACGTACTTGATCCCTAGACACTTTTGATGTGTGTATATACAGATAGATACGATATAACGAAAGGGTTTTTCGGACGACTACTGGATTTTTAAAATACAATTTCCATAAAGCTATACCGAATCGAAAGTTAAAAGAAAGAAGGTAGCAGGTATATGTATTCTCACCGCGGTGGATGTGGCGAAGGCAAGCGGCCAAGCGGCGGCGGGCGCGGCAGTGGTGGCAGCAGCGGTGGCGGTAGGAATGCGAGAGGCGGCAGCGGCGGCGGTATTACACCGTCCGCGCTATCTAAAGGTGATACTACTGCTGCAAAGTAAACAATTAAACGCTAATTATAATCCGAGTGTATTCCAAATAAAGTATTAACATACATAAAATTAAAGAAGAATGTTACTTTCGACCATGCAACATAATGACATAGAAACATAAATTGCTATTTAGTTCCGCTACTTCAAATTAGCTCACGTCAATGAAGCGACTGCTCCTTCGGCAATAGAAAGAGAACTTGCTTAACTCCATGACGACCTCGGTAGCCTAACGGTTTGCACTGTAGGTGTTGGATGCGGAAGTCCCGGGTTCGATTCCCGGTAGAACCAATTTGGGAAATGAGCTTTTATAAAATGGGTTCTGATCTGGGTGTTCTGGGAAGTGTCCCAGAGTGAATTCCGTTACTCTGGTACTCATAGTACAAGGATAGGGAATTCCTTTGAGACCAGGCAATTGGTGTTAGGCATATTATTATTAGTTTCTTTAGCGACGTTAGCTCTTCACAGTACACGCCTCTAGCTAGTAGTTACGAGAAAAATTCTGTAGTTCTGTTAGGTTTAATTTAATCAAAGAAGCTTACGTCTATGTGGCGAGGCAGCCCCATCGGCAACAGTAAGCGAGGCGAGCTTGCGCCTTAACGCTGCAGCATCTTCTCTAGCAGCGTCAGCATCTCTTTTCGCTGCACGTGCTTCTAGCCACGCGGCGTGCGCACGCGCCTCTACTTCACCGATCGCCGTGCGACGCGTAGATTCTTGTTCTGCTAGTTCTAATGTTAAAGCGTCGCATTTCTCTCTGTAAAATGGGCAATATCGCTAAAATAAAGAGTTACATTGCATAAGAAAGTATCTACCGAACTACAATTACTGATATAGGTAAAACACTTAAATTAGTACCTAAGTGTCACCCAAATACGCTCGATGTTACCATTTTCATCATGTTCATTATTTCTACGCACTTGACCTATTACATTCATTAAAATAATACAAACTTACTTGTATCTCTGTATTTCTTGCTGTAGCAACTCCATTTTTTCAACAGTGCTGGCCGATTCTCCTTGTTTGCTCAGATATAGAGACTCTTTGGTGCTTAGCTCTCTGCAATAAATCATCAATTTGATTACTATATCATTATCAATACCAGAAGTATCAATTAAAGTAAGGGACATTTTGTCGAAAATAAGTTACATATATTATTGGATTCGGAAGTTCCCGCTCTATCGATTGGTATTATTAAATAACTATAATAAATAAAAATACGTGCCTAACGTTACTAACATTCTATGTGTAGAGCGTAGTGTAAACATGAAGAGAAATAGAAAATGCACATAATTCTATTGTAAAGGATCCTTTAAAATGGAATTACGTATAATTTTATATTTCTCTTACTGCTTACACTATGCTCTTTTACACATAAAAATTAGTAACGTAAGGCACAACTAAACCACTTTTTTTAATGTAAGGCACATGCTATATTTCAAACCACTGGGGAATCCTAAATCTTTCGTTTATAGCATGAAAGAAGAGGAAATTCTAAGAAACTTTGCTCTAGACACAATAAAAATTGGAGCAGACAGTAAAAAGTTATAGACAGATTTTAAAAAATAAATTTTTTTGGGTTCTCTGACAAACCGTGGTTTGTCCCCTACAATAATTGATAATTCTGGTGTCGATATTATAGTTTGTTTAACAAGCGTTTGCGTGGCGCTGAATTACGCGAAACGTTGAAGCTTTCCTGGTGGAAACAGTTAGGAAAACTTTTCTTAAGTAGTGTAGGTAGTGTACTATGAGATAGATAAATACATTTATTGTTTACTTCCATGACAAAGGCACACAATACAGACAACAGTATTTATATTTAAGAAAGGCCTCTTTTTTTGTAAATCATGGCATAAGTAACGTGCTGGTTCAGGATAAATGATGCGCTTGCACGCGACGGTGGTAGTCTGTCAGGACCCTTATTAGGAGTTTCTTTAATCTTTATTATTATTTCTTAGCATCCACTCAAACTGCACAAGTTCCAAATGGAATTATTTGGTCGTTCCTCAACCGATTTGCATGCAAATTTGAACCGAAAATTAAATTTTAAATTTGGACCTGTGACCTGAGATAATGGAGGTAATTTTAAGTCTATGAGAAAAATATGTCATAAAATTTTGCGCGTGCAAATGTGCAGGACTGTGAAAAAAAAGTTAGACTGCTGCTCTTTGGTGGGTTATGGATACCATGTACTGTGTTTTAGGACCAAGAGACGTGCTTTAGTATTTGTTAGTGCGTTTACAACACTTTACTATGTATTTATCCCACGTACAAGTATGTGTTATATAACCAACCCACTTGTATTTCGGCAACTTTCCGAGACATTGACACCTAAAGTTTTTTTTTCTAGTAAAAGTAGTAAAAAATGTCAATTATGCTGATTCTGTTTGACAATAAAACCGAAACTACATAAGATACGAGCCCCATGTATGGCGGGGTCGGGCTCAGCCTGTGACGCGTAGTCGGGTTTAGATTACGGGGTATGCCTATGCTCTTCGGCGGCACAGCGATTAGTACTATGAGCGCTTCATGAGGAGGTTCTGGGGTCGATTCCCGATTTGGGATTCCAGATGGGGCCCCGCCATACAACACAAATATTGTAATGATTTGTTTACAAAATCATTTTAATGGGATAATAGGCAAAAACAGTGGATCCACTTAGCCTGCCAGCCTCAGATCTTACGCCATGTGATGTTTCCTTATGGGAATTTTTCAAAGAGAACGTGTACGCTGAAAGATTACACAGCCTAGAAGAGCTGCCGAATCGTGTGCGCTGTGCAATTATTTTAATTACTCCGCAAATTTTAAGAACAAATTTTAAGAAAAGTTTTTTTTTTCATTAAAGTTTGTCATTAGGGCTCGTAAATGTACCGCTCAACAAGGCCGTCAGATCGAACAATTACTTTGAATACAAAATGTTGTACTTACTTAAAAATAAACATCACTTTGTTTTTATTAAATTAAATGATGGTTTTATTACTTCATTTATAGCAGTTTCCTTATCTGTATACTTCTTGCTACCTCTTGAAGTAGAGAAAGTAAAGTCTCTCTACGAATGTAATATTAAATGTAAGGAAGCGATTAACGTTACAATTTTGTATATTTCTTATATGATGTATTTTGTAGATATATGATGTATGTTGTAGATAAATGATACATATTCCTTGTA